AAAAAAAAATTAAATAATTTGAGCTCTATCCTAATTATTTTTTTTCAAGATGCCATCTTTTTCCTCACTCTATGAAATAACCTTACTCTATGAAATAACGAAGGATATTCGTCGTGAAGAATCTATAATTGAAACTTGGATATTACACGGAATAATGGAAACTAATAGTTTTTGGAGTTTTGGACCACTTGAATCTTAATTTGTATGCGAATCACATCTAAGGAATAGAGGGTAATGAAGAGTGAAGAATAGTAATTGTGTGTTTATTCACAAAATAATCTTCTTATTTATAGGAGAGAGAGTATAGTATGACGAAATTATATTTTTGACCCTGCTTTAAAAGGTGTTGTATAGGGTATTCTTGGTATTTTACATGTATGAATCTGTCGTTCGGCTGTTTTCTGGCTCGGTCTGTTGAGATGGATTGGCTTCGAGTTAGTAGGATCGGTTCAGTCGACTAAGCTTAGTCGGCGTTGCCGGTCAGTTGATCTAGTATGATTGTAGACTATTGATAATAGATGGAGAGGCTTTTGGTTGTTCCTGGCATGATTGAAGATGATGAGAGATTGAGTCTTCTCTCAGTCTGGTTTTCTCATGGTGGTTGACTCAAACAAAGAGTCTCTTTATCTCATTTCTGATATAACGTCTTTTTGTCCTCCTCATGATTTAGTCAGTTTTGGTCTTGCTAGCTTTGGCTCGGACGACTGCATTCGGTCGGGTAAGTTGGTCATTTGTGCTTCAATCGGTGAGCACTCTCTTAGCATACTCATCTTTTTTGAACCATTAGATCTCCCCAGAATCAGCACTGATATATTTTATTTGTTTATTATTTTCGTTTTTTTTTATTAAATAATGAATAGAAAACTTCTTAAACTCGTAAGCAAGTGGCTTTAGCTTTACGCACTCCCAAAGAACACGGTGCTCATTTATTAGACAATTAACCAACCATCATTTTCACTTTGCTAACCCTAAGCATCTATGTGAGAATTTAAGTTGTATGATTAGCATAAAGTACGAGAGATTAATGGGAAACTTTATAAGTAAAACCGTATCAGAATAATGCTCCACTAAATAGCTGATGGAGCCGGGCATTAACTAGCTACTTTACCATGTAAAACAGGCTTAAGTATACAAACACCCTTCAAAAAGAAAAAAACGAAGAGTGCATTGAGTGAAGCAATGTGATGCATCATATAAACTTTTGATGCTCAATTTTTGGATCTCATGAACTCCTTTTTTATCAAAAGAATAATCAAGTTCATCTATTGCCTTCAAATTTTTGATATTCCTTACCTTTTTTGTTTGATGTTTACTAAAGATGAAGTCTAATAAACATTCATTAGTCATTAATATTCAATTATTATTTTCTCAATCACTTAGAGCCAGTTTGGGGCAACTTTAGCAGTTTTAAGAAGTAGTTGTGAAACTGCTGCAGAAGAAACTGTTATTTAAAAAACTGCGGCGTCTATTTAAAATTTAGTTTAATTTAAAAAAGTCTAACCGTAACTTTCTGACAGACACCACACTATAAAATGTTAGGTTGAAAAAAATAATTTATATCCCTTAACCTTTCTTTAAGCAGCAATAAAACAATTCCCAAATAAAATTACAGTGAAAATCTGAAAATGAAAACTGCCAGAAAGCTACCCTAACCGATCCTTAATCTCTCCTCCCATCAAGCAAATGATCATATTGATAATTAATTATCGTTAGATTTTAGAATGCATTTATATGCTCCCCATCAATCAGTGTGCAATATGTGCCAACAATCAGCATTTAATGGTCATCGATGATTATTGTCCATTGCTCATTTTCTTATTAGTTTGCTCTATTACTCATCCCAAAAATGACCAAACAAAGCACCTATCATTACCTCAAAATTTATCTATTATCTCATGCTTGTTTTATCAGTCACTTCATCACCATGCTGATCAGAGTTGTTACAAAAATATGTTCAGTGATCAGAGTTGTTACAAAAATATGTTCAGCAATATCTTTGAAGCGTGTTGGAAAATTCGCGGCGGTAGAGTAATGAATTATAGTCTGCGTTGCATGAGTATTCAACACACAATCAGATAAAAAGGGAAACAATTTGTGATGACACCAGAAATTTTTACGTGAAAAATCCGTAAAGGAAAAAAACCATGGGCCTAACCTAGTTACAAAAATCCACTATATGTTGATGATTACAGAGACCCCTTGTCTCACAAACGGGAAATGATTACTAGCTTTCCAAGTTACAACGTCAACTAACGGCGTTCAGTATGTGGTTGACGGTGGTCGACGGTAGTCGACGACAATCGATGATGGTCGGTGGTGGTCGAAAGAGGTCAGCGGTAGTCTACAACAGTCGATGACGGTCGTCGGTGGTCGACGGAGGTCAGTGGTGATCGGCAGTGGTCGCCGACGGTCGGTGGTGGTCGACGGAGGTAGACGGTGACAGAGATGATATTGGAGTTAAGCTCTTTCTCCAAGCTTCAAGTTCTTTCTCAAGCCTCCCCTCTCATGTGAGGGTTGAGACTCTATTTATAGTGTTCTGGGTGCAATTAATGCAAGATTATGAACTATTTTGCTCGGATGATCCAGAGAGCTTTCCTCGATTGGACGGCGTTTGATAAACATTTGAGTGCCTTAAAGATGTCAAAATTTGGTAATCTTGGGCTTGTTGGATTCGCCTTGTCGAGACGCTCAATTTGAGTATGAACTCACTGAATTCGACATTCGTTTGATATTTCAAATGTGTCCATAAATCTTCCAAAAGTGATTTACTCACTTGCTCTTGGGTTTGATTTGACTCGGATTGAACTAACTTTGATATCATTAGGTCTGTTTTATCGAGTCAGTTAGTTTGACTATAAGTTTGCTGAAATCGGAGCTCTAGATGACTTTTAATTGAAGTTTGAATGTTTCTTGCTCAAAATGTTGCCTTGAGATTCATGTCATGCCTCGAGATTCGTGTCGGATGATGAAAATTTGTTTGTGTATCGTTGCCCCCCTATTTTTGGGAGAGTCCAATTTAGTCGGCCGAAAATATTGATACTAAAGATTTTTCATTTTTATGAGGCATATATTTTTTTATTATAGTTTATTAAGTTTCTATTTAGATTAGAGCAAATTACAACCAAACATGATAATGTAATTTAGCATAGCTCAGTTAGTGAGTTCATTTTCTCTCGACAGGGTTCGAATCTTGAGCAAATTATTAAAATTCTAATTTTTTTTTAAACAGGCCGTGCTTTCGGGCCAGCAGGCCGGCCAGACCGAAATTAAAGAGAAAACAAAAAATTAGAGAGAAGTGAACTTAAAAAACAAAAATTAAAGACAGTTTTATATTTATATTTTTTATTGCAGAAATAGTTTTTTATTTTATTTAAGAAAAAAAAAATTAAAATAAAGAGCTGTTTTTTTTTTTTTTAATGAAGAGTTGTTTTCTTTTTTTTTAATGACTATAATAAATTTTATCATAAATATGGGGAGTTTTTTAGCCTATAAATAGGCCAATGAGAGGAGAAACTTTGTGGAGTTCTCATCCCTGCCTAGCAGGTGATTTGAGATTTCCCAAAAGAAGAAAGTTGTCCCTGACCTGCGTAGCAAACAAGCAACGAGATCTTATTTCTCGTTGCTCGTTGCGGCAAAACGTTACGATGAAGTGTTGCGGCGAAATGTTGCGGCTAAGAGTTGTGAAGAAGGGTTGCGACAAAACGTTGCGGCGAAGAGTTACGGTAAGATATTGCGGCGAAGAGTTGCGGCAAAACGTTGCGGCGGAGCGTCATGGCAGGGTATCACGACAACGCTTTGTCGCGGGGCGTCGTGGCGACACGTCGCGTTGTGGAGGAGCGTCACATATTCCGAAGGAGATTTTCGTGCCGCTCTTGTACGTTCTGAAAGTGATGAAGAAATGATGTAGTTTTCTCGCCTCGCCATGAGGGGGAATTTTCATCCTTATGTGGTGGCGATATCTGGAGACCCCTTGATGATGATAAAAAATACTGAAATTTTAGGAAGGCAATTTCGACTCTAATTGAAGATGAACTGATTCGTTGTAGCCCTTGTACATGTATATGTTGATATTTGTAGCCTTTTTAATCATATGATGTGACAATTGTAGATCATAACGATGTATTTTTTTGTTGCTTCCACGATTGTTGTGGCTTCTTAATTGTGCAAAATTCTTCTGAGGCTCATAACCTTCTGAGGAATTTACATGCACTTGTGTCTTCTAGGGTTTGTAGCCGTCTGAGGTCTTTGATGTATCAGTGCCTTCTGAGGCTTGTAGTCTTCTAAGGTCTTTGAGTATACATGTGTCTTCTGAGACTTGTAGCATTCTTAGGGCTTTAAGTATACATGTGCCTTCTGAGGCTTGTAGCCTTCTAAGGTCTTTGATGTACGTGTCTCTTCTGAGCCTTCTGAGGTCTTTGAGTGTACCTGTCTCTGAGGCATGTAGCCTTCTGAGGTCTTAGATGTACATGTGTCTTCTGAGGCTTGTAGCCCTCTGAGGTCTTTGAGTGTACCTGTGCCTTCTAAGACTTGTAACCTTCTGAGGACTTTGAGTTGAGACCCTATCAACCACTTGCTCTCATAAAGTCTTTCTAGTGATGACCCTGTCAACTACTAACTTCTCATCGAGACTTACCTCTTGAGCTTATCTTCCAGGGGCATGGTAGCTTCTCATTGAGTCTTGCCACTTAGGCTTGACTTTTAGGAGTACCGTATCTTCTGGTCGAGTCTTGCCTCTTGGGCTTGACTTTTAGGGCCATTGTAGGTTCCCATCCTCAAGGGGGCTTTCTGCACAAAAATCTTTCATGAGAAAATAAGAAAATTTCAATGAAATGACATTTTAAAGCAACATGAAAATTTTGCTAAAATAAAATTAAGAGTTTATAAGCCAGTCTTTTACTCAGATAATATGAGTTGGAGTTATACTTCTCATTCGATAACTCCAACGATTCTCTTCTGGTTCCCCTCACATTGTTCTTGTAAGTAGCGACTCAGTGACCTTGCCGTATTAGACATTCATTTTTTTTCTTTAATTGAAAACATCTTTCTTTTGAATGTCGGTGAAAATGTCAATATTAAGATTGATCTCCACCATTTGAATTTCTTAACGGCTTTGGCCACTTGACAGTCTCTTCATCCTTGATTATTATTAAGATATTAACACACGACATGTTGAGTGACGTGTATTCTTTTTCTGATCGTTGCTCACGATTCCCCTGTGGTCTAAACGTTTTTCGCTGTGAGATTTGATTGGTATCCCCGACATTATTTTTGTGCTTGCCCCCCAATCACTCAAATTGTTCTTTGTGAGCAATGATGGCCTCATATGCAAAGATTCATGCCTCAACACAGTGAAAAAGGTCACCATAAGAATGAACTGTCTCCCGTATCGATGATGAGTAGAATGGTTCTGGGTGGAGCCCCCCAAGGAAGACTCCTCTTAGTAAGGAAGACTCCTCTTAGTAACTCTGGACCTTCTCCCGAAATTTGTCAGGCTTCAGTAGAAAACCTGTGGAAGTAGTCCTTCAGTGATTCTTCATCGCTTGACGAATTCCCGAGAGATGGGATGAATCCTTGATGATTCTTCGATTTGCGATGAACTGCTCCGCGAACAGTCTGACAAGCTTGTTAAAGGTGTTTACAGTGCCCCCTGACAGAGAGTAGAACCAGGTTCGAGCTTGTTCTTTAAGAGTAGCCGGGAACACTTGACACGAATGCGCATCAGAGGAACACTGAATGTGCATGATGGTTCGATAATGATCAATATGCTCATAGGGGTCGGTTATCCCTTCATATGTATCGATGTTCGAAAGCTTAAAGCCTGTCAGGATGGGGTGTTGGAGGACTGCATCCGCTAAGGGAGATGATTCATGGATGTTACAGTGAGTGTAGAACTGATCCTTTTTTTCTAGGGGAAATTTTCCAGGACGAGGCATCGTAGTTCATTACGAATGACATCATCTGGAATGGCAGGAAGATGTGGCGATGTCAGATGAGCTGCACGAGATGGATGGGTGGAGCTTGCGGTATCTAGGAGTTCAGCATCACGAGCTGATAGGGGATGTGTTCCTTCTTGAGGAGGCGGGCCTGAACGAGTTCCTCAGAGCGGTATCTTTCTCGTACGTCGCGGAGTTAATGATAAACAAATTTTATCCAATGGTGTAGGCAGCGACTGTTGAGCCCCGCGTAGGAAATGCAAGATCTCTAGTTGAAACTCCTCCATTCTACACATTCGATCTTCTATTGAAGGACCTGAAACACCTTCGTTGGCGGGATATCATCTTCCAGGGCGATGACTTCCAGGGTGGGAAGATGAAGAAGCATGCCACCCTTGACTTCTTGACTGTTCTTGGAACAATGGGTGTTTGAGTGGGATGCTCCGTTATCAAAAAAATTGTCTAGTGGTCATGTAGAAAACCACGTAAGCACTTTAGTTGTGGGATTGAAACGTTCCCACAAATAGCGTCAAACTAATATGTGCTAAAAAATTCGCGGCGGTAGAGTAGTGAATTATCGTCTTAACGTTGCATGAGTATTCAACACATGCTCAGATAAAAAGGGAAACAATCTATGATGACACCAGAATTTTTTACGTGGAAAACCCGTAAAGGGAAAAAACCACGGGGTATGACCCAATTGCAAAAATCCATTATAGGTTGATGATTACAGAGACCACTTGTCCCACAAACGAGAAAGGGATACTAGATTTCTAAGTTACAACGTCGAGTGATGGGCTTTCAGTCGGTGGTCGACGGTGATCGACGGTAGTCGACGACAATCGATGACGATCGTCATGCCTTTCGGTGGTGGTCGACGGAGGTCCACGATGGTCGACGACAGTCGATGATGGTCAGCGGTGGTCAAGGGAGGTCAGTGGTGATCGACGATGGTCAACGGTGGCCGACGGTGGTCAACAGAGGTCGGCGACCAAAGGTGGTCGCCGACGGCCGGTCGGTGGTGGTCGACGGAGGTAGACGATGATAATGATGATATTGGAGTTAAGCTCATTCTCAAAGCTTCAAGTTCTCTCTCAAGCCACCCCCTCTCATGTGAGGGTTGGTGTTATATTTATAGTGTTATGGGTGTAATTAATGCAGGAATATAAACTATTTTGATCGGACGGTCCCGAGAGCTTCCCTCGATTGTTTGATGGACATTTGAGTGTCTTAATGATGTCGGAATTGGGCAATCATGGGCTCGTTGGATTTGCCTTGTCGAGACGCTTGATTCGAGTATGAACTCGCTGAATTCGACATTTGTTTGATCTTTCAAATGTGTTCGGAAATCTTCCAAAAATGATTTAGTCATTTAATCTTGGCTTGATTTGATTCGGATTATACTAACTTTGATATCATTATGTCTGTTTTATCGAGTCGGTCAGTTTGACTATAAGTTTGCTGAAATCGGAGCACTAGATGACTTTTAATTGAAGTTTGAATATTTCTTACTTAAAAGGTTGCCTTGAGATTCGTGTTGGATGATGAAAATTTGTTGTTGGCGTATCAATATTTTTCCTTGTGGTTTGTCGTTTTGTGCTTAGGGAACCGTTATAGAATTCAAGTGCTGTA